AAAAATAAAATAAAAACAAAAATAAAAAGCATACACGCACGATTAATCTACCTGTTGTTGTCGTTGCTGTTGCTTTTTCTGTAATAATTATGTTACCAATGCAGTTGGGCAGGTAGAACCGGAATAGTTTGTGCCAAGAAGAATCACTGAGGATATAGATTTAAGCCTCATAATTGGGAAATTGAACTGACTGATTGGTAATAATAATATTATTTTTCGATTTAGGAATGGCCTAGAATTTTTCAACCATCTTGTCACATAATTTCTCAAGAGGAATCAAGGAGCGTATATATAGTTTTTAAAAAAGTCAAATAGGGCCTAACCATGATAGTAATACCCAAGACTGGAGAATGTATCTTAATTCACTTATTAAACTTTTTAAAGACACAAATGACGCTAAACTAAATATTCATTCGTTCCCACAGTCACCGCTTACGCAAAGTTTTACAATCATAATTTTTAAAAATTAATTCGGAGTTGTTACAGCTTACAAAACAAATACGTAAATTTCCGATAGCAACAGTTAAATCGAGTGATGAACGTATAATAAGGACATAAAGAATCAACTGCGAGAGTTTAAATTTCTGGCATCAGCTCAAAATATTTTTTGGGTAATTTTCTGCTTTTTTAAAACTTTGTTTAACAACAAAAATACATTTTTGGAGAAAAAAGTGAATAACGCATACAAGAAGCATTCACAGTTTTTGTATTTATACTGTTCCAAAATGGCTTCCAGTTCTTGTTGTAGGTGCCACGTCAAGTTCGAACTTTAATTTGGTCTTGTAATTCATCATATTTTAGCCCGTGTAAGTGAATATTATGTCGAAGACAAAGTCTGATATTAATCAACCAACATTATGTGTTCATTTATGTGTGTGTGTTCACGGAATTATTCCTTTTCCACCTCAGTTTTCCCAGCAGACGTTCGATCGACCATCTCTCCGCTTCCACACTTTACTTGATGTGATGTTTTTGTTTAGTGTGTGTAGATAGCCTAGTGTTTTAACTGGTAGTTGTGTTGGTTATGATTATAATTAGTGCAATTTCTGAATGAACACAATTTTTTGAGATAGGAGACAAGGCCTTAGTCTGCTGTACTTTGTGGAATCTAGGCATGGAACAATGTCAAGATAGAAATGAAATAGACTTGGATCTCTTATCTTATTTCAATCATTTCAGCATGATGATTTCAATCTCATCATTCATCATGTGGAGATCTAGAATCTAGACTAGATCTAGATCTAGATCCTAGTATAAGTAGGCCTAGATCTATGTTATGTATGGTAGGCCTAGATCTATGTTATGTATGGTAGGCCTAATCAGTCATGTAGTAGACTAATGAAACACTTCTTGTTGCCATGAAAATCTTAGCATTCTCTGGTTTTGGCCCCAAGAGCCAAAAGAGTAGATATCGACTGGATATCGATACTGACTTAAATAGGCTACTCGATATTGATGTTTTATCTGAAAGAGTGAGAGTTGCACTGCTATTTTGTCAATGCAAAATGAGCTGTAATATTTCACTTGTTTTTAACTACGGGGGTTTTAGAGTGGCTTGCCCCCTCGCCTAAAATACCAATAAAAATACGGGGGGGGGGGGGGGGGGGTGGTTTTCAGGCATGCCCCCCCCCCCCCCCCAGAATTTATCCATAATTTGATGTTTTAGTTTTGCAATTGTATTAGGTTTGATATATATCTCTTGCTTGCTGAGCGTCAAACATCATAAATGCGCATGGAAAAGTAATCGCTCAGAACCAGAAGAAATCGTTGGTGAAGCCAAAACTCACACTCCATAGTAAATATAGATCTTGTTCATCTTGGGGTAGAAACCAGATTATGATTATAAAATATCATCTCTAAGAGAAACTGTACGGTGTAGTTTTTACGCAAAAATAATAGTTTGCTGTCCAATTTTGGCAAGAAGGAAGCTTTACAACAGTGTCAACAGTGTGCAATGGGAAAAAAAGAAAGCAGTAACTTACTCTTGTATGCACATGCCGCTGTGAAGTCAGAAGGATGCTGAAATCTGGTTATTATGTTACAAATCATATTTGAATTTAGCTATGTTTGTGTTTTAAATACATAAAATATTATGTGAAAAAAAAATTAATTAAGGACCTGAAAATCTCTTTGCTGTGTGTGTATTTGCTATGGGCGTGCTAGTCTATTTTATGATTGATATCTAGTAGCCAAAATCAAAATTTTGGAAGTAGGCTACACCTAGGAAGATTAGCCTTTATTTATTTTTCTGCAAGTGGCTATTCTCCGGCGTCGCGCCGGTCAATAGATCGGAAGCTATTCTCCGGCGTCACGCCGCCGGTCTATTACTAATGAATTACAATGTATTTGTCGACGCAGATTTTGAGATAAAATATCTAGGCCTAGTAAATCTACCTTTCATGATATTTTATCTATAATAATTGTCTAGCGTAACTTTATTCAACATTTATTTGGGTCGTCCATTTGCTTTTTAAAAAATAATGATTCTGTTTCTTTTTAAACGAACAAAATTGATTTTGTGTCTAAAATCCTGTCTAGTCATCAGACCTGCCACTCATCTCGATTTAATCGGGATATCCCGATTTTTTGCCCCAAATCTCAAGCATCCCGATTTTCCCGATTTCGATCGCCAGTATCCTGATTTTTTGTCGTTGCGTCTGTTGCGTCCGATTCTAGGGTAAAAAAATATAAAAAGTTCTGCAATCTCTTTTGCTTGGAAGCACCGATTGGATTTTTTATCGTCAGGAACTTGGAACGCTACTTTCTGAAGCATCTATGCCGAATCTAGCAGATGACTCACGCACGTTATTTCAACTAAAACTGACGTAGTATCGATTTTGAATTCCAACATGGATACGCTCAAGATCTACTTTCGCTTTTATAACCCAGAATTCTCCGATGGTGTCCTGATTACTGTAACAATTATGCCATGGGCCTAAGAATAATTTATTCGTTGTTCTGCCGTTGCTTTAAAAGCAAGCTTCGTCTGAGTTCTGGTTAGTCGGGCCCATCAGACCTGTCAGTGGAACTTTCAAACGCTCATTCGCAACACGTGACATGGCCTTGTACGTGTGAGTAGTGCGTGTGTCGGGGACCGTCGGCTGTCGGGGTCAACAAAGTTCATTCACACCGGTCGCATTGGTCGAGGTGTTTTTTCGGGACTTAACCAGTGTGGACGGGAGGAGGGGGTGGGGTATTTTTTTTTTACACTTGGGCTTAAAGTGCGTGCCGTGATACATGTCGAATCTAATTGAAGATGAAGGAATAAGAAAAAAGAAATAAGTGAACAACCTTGGCGCAATCTTTTTTTCGGGGGGAGGAGGGGGGTGCCTTGAGTGTATATATATGCGATGGAAGTCAAACGTTGTTACTGTATGAAAACGCGGGTTTTTAGAGGGATGATTAGAGTTATATGTCAGATATTTTCAAGACGATGAGAGTTTCAGTTTTACTGCAAATTGCGCTCCCCCAGTCTATCAAACTCCGACTCAAGTAATGCTGTCTTTCAGTTTTCCGTTTATTTAGAGGCCCAAACGTGAACTTCTTCCTGCAAAAGTTTTCTCTTGCATACTTGCCTCATAAAAGGGAACCAGGACCCCCCACCCCCCCCACCCCCCCCCCCCCCCTTCTCCAGTATCCCTTATGACTGATTTGCTGTTGATCCCAATTTTTTTTTACCAGATCCTGATTTTTTTACTCTAAAATCCTGATTTTTAGATTTCATAGAGTGGCAGGTCTGAGTCATAATATAGTATAGCTTGATGTTTACTTATTTCTTATTGTTGTAATTTTCGATAAATTTAACTGATATTTAGCGATTTCAGTGCTTTCTTGTCGTATGATACCTTTTTTGGAAACAGTAAAAAATGACTTCTTCTTATGCTCACTCTTTGGTATGAACTCGCATCACTAGAGGTGAACACGTTTCTACTAGCACCTATCACAATTATAAATTTAAGGAATTGAGGCAGTTTGTGTATGAAAACCTATCGTCTGTATCAATGGAAGTGGCACGAAGTGGTGAAGTTTATGGAAATTTTTTTCCAAGACGAACAGATGAGAAAGGTATTTGCAAATCTGCGACAACAAATAATAGACTGGCACGACGCCGGAGAATAGCCACTTTCATTTTTCTTACAGGGTGTCCAAAAAGTCACGCACCACCCTTAAAATCTTTTTTTTTCTGTCTGTCCACGCTCTCTTCACGAATTGAGACATGCAATCACAATTGAATGTCACAACATCCATCCAGATACCATACGCAAAGTTAAAAACAGCTTTTTGTGGAGAATAGAGTTGTATTTTATTTAATGAAAATGATGCTCCATTTGCTGAGCATCTGTAACAATGAATGTGTTTCAGAATGGTGCAGGACTTTTTGGACGCCCTGTTTTGTTTCAGCTGATTCCACTGTAGGCCTATTTCCTTTTAGTGTCTTGTGACCTGTAGTGTGGACCGTTACCCTATTTACCTTGTGGATCTGTCGTTTGCTGCTAATATTATGGACATATACTTACTCTGCAAAACCTTTTTTCAGTCAGGGATGACCACTGTCATTTTTTTTCTTTTTTCTTTTTGACACTTCCCTTGCCATGAAGACTAAATTTGTTGTGACTATGCTACACTGAAAATACGAATATAATATGCAGTGCGACTGATATGATACATTTCTTGAGTAGTGTCCCTTGATCTGCAATGACTGTGTGCTGTGGAATTTTTTAAAGGTAGTTTTGCATCTTTTTTCTTGGGAAAAAAAGCCAACTTTTGTCTATTTTTGTAACGATTTTCATGAAACAATACAATGATACCAAAACAATACAATTTGCCGTAAGCTGACAAAATGCCCTTTTTTATTCACAGCAGCTTCGAGATAAAGAGGCTTTTTGTCAGCGTTACAATTTTAAAAAGGAGCTCTACTGAAACTTGAATTCTAATTTATTAAAAAAACAGTCGCAGTTTCACTTTGATTTTTTCACACATGTAGGTTAACTGATCAGGCTTTCAATTTAGCCAAAATATAAAAAATGGTGCCAAAAATGAAAAAAAAAGGCTTTTTGTCAGCTTGGCTTACAGCAGAGATATGATTTGGGATCTTTTTTCAAGCTTAGGTGGTAAAAGTGTTGACTTAGTATTGAAAGGGGAATACGTGAGAGAGAAGATATCTAGAGCTGCCTGATACAAAGCAAGCAGTTGAACTGTCAAAGTGTGACAGGGGATAGAGGGGGCATGGTAGGGGTGGGGGCAGGTGTAGCAAATAGTTAGGGGCAATAGCATGTTGCAGAACCAAATATATGTCTATGAGCAATTTAGGGCTCCTGATGCTCTAGTATTTAGTGAACAGCAAACTCTGATAAACAAGAGCAATAGCATTAGTGGTTACAGTCACAATTTTGATAAACATGAAAATATATTGAATATTGACATCAATTTGGACAATTTGATTGCTTTAATAACTGAGTGATTAAAGAAATATTTTTCCTCTTTCATAATACATTTTTACTAAATTTTTCCATTTAAAGATAGCCATCAAGTTTGTTTCATCATGGGCTTTGTTTTTTTGCAAAAAGAAAAAGAAACTTGCTAACAATCCTGAACACATTTTAAGGCAAAGTTCTCATACTTCTGAGAAATATTTTTTTGTATAAACTTTCACCATTCAATTTTTAAGCAACTGTATTTTTGTGTGGCAAGGAAAGTGTAAGCTTCAGGCAAAATTAACAAACAACGAGGATAGACTTTGTCAAATCCCCCTTTAGGCTCGTCCAAAGAGTGGAAATGTAGGACAGTCCACAAAAGAGACACTAAGCAAAATTTCAATCTATTAGTCTGATCCCTTGTATGTCTTGAATCTCTTCTGAAAAGTTAAAATGTATAAAAAATAGGGAGAAGATAACATCATTACTAACTATGAATCTATTTAATTTTCCAGGCTGTTGTGCAAGCTGATGGCAACGGACATGTTGAATCGTCAGGGCAAATAGTTACAAGAAATTACATGTAACATGCAACTTCAATTGGTTTTTTGGAGAAGGTTGTAACGTCAAGCAATCGAGACACCCATCATGTTGAATGACAAACCGTCCCGCATAATCGCCCTCTGCTCAGTAGCGAACTTTATCAACTCTGCTGACAGGGTGATTATGCCGATCGCCATTGTACCCATGGCTCAGGAGTTTAAATGGGATCTGCATCAACAAGGATGGGTCCTAAGTGCATTTGCTCTGGGCTACATGAGTAGCCAGGTGAGTGATCTTTTTTTCCCCTCTTCTTATATAATTGAACTTGAGAACAGCATTGGTAAGGAATAGACAAACTGATGTTGTTCCCTTTAACTTTTATCTATTGTTGATCAGAGTAACTACTTACCCTCATTAGATAGTAGATTGTATTGAGGCCATAACTTGACCCTTGAAGCCCTGCCCCAACACCCTCCCTTGAGTCTACTGGAGTACTGCAGCTGAGATCCTGAGGGGACAATGCTTGGATTTCCATTGTGTCTCACTGAGGCATGTTTGATTTGTGGGAGGGTAAAGGTTTTGTGTACCAAGGTGTGTACTTGGGGTTATGCTAACTGAACCAATGCTGCAGTTTTTTATTTTTAAAAAAATTTAAGTTTTTGATGCAGAAAAACTTGTGACCCATTAGAGAATTGAAGGTTGCTCTCTTGGTGACTAATTGCAACAGAAGAAGATATAAGGATAGCAAAAAATATTGTAAAAACTGGTGAATAAGCACACGACTGCCATGTATTTGAGAATCCAGAGAAAGAGAAGTATTTATACCCTTCGAACAGCTACTTTTTATTATATTTATGATTCATTAAACATGCTAGTATTATGAAGTGAATTCAGTTGTGTGTTACCAGCTGTGTACACAAACAGAGAATAGGTTGAAAGCATGGGTCTAAAAAGTGGGCGTGCACAATTAACCCTTTGAGCCTTGACTGTGCTGACCGTAGAATACCCCCTGCATGGCCTAGTCGGCCATTTTCACGTGGGTCACAACAAATAGACCAGACGACAAATACGTCACACACAATAACAAAGTATCCACACAGAAACTAATCAGAGTTGCCAATCTCACATCTAGAGCCAGTGAATAGTTTTTCACATTCATTTAGGTCTAGTAAGGCCTTGCTCAGGCTCACTTGGATCCGTGACTCCCAGACGGGTGAAAGGGTTTATCGGGCTACACATCGATAAAGTCATGGACCGGTCAGAGGGTTTCTCAGGCTCTAAGGGTTAAACTGTCGCAGGTTGAAGATATTCAAGGGCATAGTAAATGGGATGGTGTATAATTTTGAATATCTTTGGTTTGGTGAGGACCTCATGCTTTTACTTTCATTTTTTAAATTTGTTGCTTTGATTCCTAAAACTTACATATTTGTTGGCTAAAAACAATTCCGTTCATCTTGCATTGGAACTGTGCACTCAAGTAATAACACTTTCACTACTCCAAAAACTCCACTCAAAAGCACAACTTGACAGACAGTGACGTAACTAACTCTACGTTCACCTCGCTCAAGTTCACAAAGTCATGGCATGACCTAAATTTAAAAATTGTGGCAAGGCAATGAACCAATCTCACTTCACTTGAGCGCTCCGCTTGATTGCTCCGGGGCTCACATTTTATTGGCATATAGTGTGCAGTCTGAAATTGTGTTTATTTTTACTGCCTACTGTGGTTTTTGTTTCGACAAGAGCACATTTGAGATGTGCCGTCTTATTAATATTAATGTACTGCCAAAATTGCAACGAGTGTCAGGTCAGACTACCATTGCTATACAGCATATTGTGTTCAGTTAAAGCGCGTGGACTTTGGCATAGCATGGATGATTTATGGTGCTATAGGCACATAATATGTAATGGCTGTTGAGGCGCCAGCGAGGACCTTGTATATTTTCTATTTATGAGTGCTTTACAGAACAGAACATTTTAAAAGTTTCGGTGACACTGCACGGCCGTGCTCAATGGATGAACCGTCCCTGGTTGACAGATCATATTGGTCATAATTATTGTAAAGTGTAAAGGTGTCATGTTTTGATTTAAAAATCCCTGGAAAAATTTTGCTGATGATATTATTAGTAGTATTATTATTATTCTGACCTATTTGTTTGTTTTTCAGGTTGTTGGAGGCAGTGCGGCAAAGAAGTATGGAGGAAAAAAGATTCTAAGTCTGGCAGTAATACTTTGGTCTTTGTCAACCTTCCTTGTGCCTCTGTTTTCACATTCGTTGTACATATTGATATTGTCTCGAGTACTTCTTGGACTTGGCGAAGGTCTAGGTGAGTGAGAAAATTACAAGTAGTTTAGTAAATGCTGTATCAGTTGTCTCTCATTTTGTTTCTTTGAAAAAATATTTTGAGTGTGTGGTGTGTGCAGCTGGTAGGTCAGACGTCTTGACTTTCCTTCTTTTATTTCTATTTCTGTCTTGCTTTATCCCAACACTAAATGACTGTTGTTGATGTGTTTCTTTTAACTTGAACGCATCTTCGAACTCATATTTTGAAGGGATGATTTTCTATTGACAAGTAGCCTTTGTCTCAAAGTGAATTGTAGAAAGCAGCTATTTATTATTGAGACTTTCCACAATTTAAAGTATTTAAGAGAATACCATGTCCATTACTTTTTGGGAAAAAAGAAATTTGAATATTTTAAAATGTCAAAAACAATTTTGCTTTTTATTTTGTATCATTACTGATTTGTGGTATGTAAATTTAATCTTATCTTGCTTTTTTTTTTTCAGGTCTCCCAACAATTTTTCACATTTTTTCTCACGCCATTCCATGCGAAGAGCGGTCTAGGGCATTTGGTTACTTGGTAGCCTTTGGTTCTATTGGGCAGACAGTAGCCTCACTGGTATGTTTCTCACTTTCAGTTGGGGATCATTCAAAAATTTGTCTTTCGGGAAAAGTGTTTCATTTGCCTTTATTTTTTATTTAGAAATACCCATTTATCTTGATTAAAAGTCGAAGTATTTGTGATTGAAGGAGGTGGGGTCATCTGGGTTCAGAAGTAAAATTAGCCAAGAAAATGTCCGTCTAAGTCTGATAACTTCAATAGCTTGAGAGTCCTTGAATACTGAAAAGTTACATTATTATTTGTTGCCTTTAGTCAATACTTCTTAGTAAAGTTCACATGGAAATGCGTTTTTAAATGGACATTAGAGGTGTTGAACCAAAACATAAAAATTTGATAAAAATTGCTAAATTGTCTGGAAAATGCCAGTTTCCCTGACTTCGTTATTTTGACGAGCACCTGATTTCACCATGATGCCTCACATTTTCATAATTTAACCCCATAATATCCTTCTTCAGGTGTGTCCTCATTTGCCATGGGAGTGGATGTTTTATTTCTTTGGCCTGATGGGCTTTACTTGGGTCGCTGTTTGGGCCTCAATGTACGCCGATTCCAGGGGAGCCTTGGATGAAGAGTTTGTGGATCCTCCAAAGGTATTTTACCAAATCTTGTTAGATTTCCGGGCTGTGAAGATGGCAGGGTTCACTTCACCAGTCAAATGACCAAAACTAGAGAGACTGACACAGCTTTATATACCTAAGACCCCATGTTCCCAGAAGCCCTAAATCTCGAGACAAAGTGAGAACTGCGCATGGAGTGGTTACAATGAAAGGGAAACAACTGATAATATAATGGACGAGCAACTGTGGTTTATTATGGATTGTGTCCCATATCATTACACAGGCACAGGGAGTGATTTTGGGATTAAGGTTTTGCAGATGTGAAATTTCTTGTATGACTGTTATAACTAGTTTTTTTGTGTTTGTGACGTTATCACAAACATTTCCTTTCTGTCCTGCTAGTTCTGTAAATCTGACATGACAAGCTAATTTGCTTATTGTTTCATATCTTGGTTGATGTTGTTATGGAAGGAAGACGTGGGGGGCGGGGGGGGGGGGGGGGGAAGACAACCTAGTTCATAACATTACATGACAGTGCTCTACTCACAGGCACGTGGTCCAACAAGAGCTGGGTCAAGAGGTAGATTATTAGGAATTAGTCACTCTTGATTTTGGCCGAAGTTTTAAAAAGATGAGGAGATGGTTATTTCGACAGCCATGGTTTTAAACATTTTTTAATTAAAAAAAGAAATTGTATTAGAATTTGGCTTAGTCTTCTGTCTCTCGGACACATAGCAGTTCTAGAGAAGTGAACATTGGATCATGTGCAAATTTCCATTTATGTGGATATGTCTCTCTTTTTAGACACTTCACATTGTTTCATGTAGCTAGAAATTCAATATTCTTCCTATCTAATAATAAGTGAACTACAGTATGTATTCCTTGTAAATCATATCGCGACCTCAGTGTTTTCTTGTCCTATCTCCATTTTTTTAAAAACATTGAATATATGACTTCCTCTTTAGCTCACTCTTTGTCTTGAACTGTTTTCACTGTTATTAAAAATGGAGATAGGACAAGAAAGCATTAAGGTCGCTATATACTAAAGAGAATAATGATTGCTCTTTCTTATAGCTGGTGTAAGTAAAGATTGTATATGTATTTTGGCACTTTTTTGTCTCAAAAGTTTATTAAACACAGTTGAAGTGAAGGTCATCCTTTTTTTTATGTGTGTGTTAAGTTTGAAATCATTTGTCTGCGATGTGTTCCAGGTGAACAACTCCAATGTGCGGTGGATGGAGTTTGTGGCTCACTGGCCATTGTGGTCCATCTACATAGCTCACTTCAGCATGAACTGGTCCAACTACATTGTGATGCAGTGGCTGCCCACCTACCTGTCCTCCACACTCGGGGCCAACCAGTCGCACATGATGTCCACAGCCGTGCCTTATATCATGAACTCTCTTGTTGGTGTTGGTGAGGCTTTTTTTTTGGGGGGGGGGGGGGGGTTGTGTTAAATTTTCCCATTCGTATTTTTTTCTCATTTTAAGAATTGCTTCTTTTGTCAGTTTGAAATAGAAAATTGACAGTAAACCTTTTGTAATGGTTAAGAGAGATACTTACATTTTTGTTGTTGAAAATTCAAGCTTGTTTGAGGGGGTTTGTAAAGATGGTGCACTTAAAAACAGTGTTCTGTCAGGATTATTACGGCAATATGTCCTTTTTTCTGTATCTTGGTGGAACAATTTTAAACATGGCTATAGTTATTTTTATTCAATATGTTTTGTTACATTTTGAAATGAGCATTTGTTTCTCTTCCTCAGTTGCTGCCCATTTTGCAGATGCTTTGATTGCTCACAAATGGACAGTCTTGTCTGTGCGTCGCCTCATGACGACTATTGGCTTGCTTGGTCCTGGATTATTTATTCTTTTTTTCAGTGCTGTGTATAATTTGCCCCTGGCTGTCTTGTAAGTATTATTGTATGTTCAGGTTGGTTAAAAAAATTTGTATTTTGTCGGCTCGACATGATTGTCAGGGGGAATGTGTTTCAAATATAGTGACTGTCATATAGAGATTGTAGTGACTGAATGTAGTGACAGTAGAGAGGATTGTTACAAGGAATGTATGTATTTCTAGATAGTTTTTGTTTACCTTGATAATGGAAACTTTTGTTTCTTATTGTTGTACTGTTTGTCCCCATAGTTTTTACTTGATAGTTTGTGAGTGAATCTCGGAAGTAAATTTCTTTCTTGAATTTCTTCTTATTTTGTGAGTTAACCAAGGATGATTTTGGATTGGTGTTTCACTTTTCTAATGATGCTGTGCAATGGCTTTGATTAAATGTGTTTAATTTTAGTGATTGTTACTGCTGTGGAAATATAAATCTGTCTTTACTCTACATTTTTTTCGGTGTATGTTCAGTATTTGGATAGAAAGGTCTTCAAACTTGTGCACAAAACTTGTTCTGTTTTGATTTATTAGACTTTAATGTCTACGTTTTTACTTTACTCATTTATCTTGCTTTCACTTTAAGGCGCTCTGAATAAGATGGTCTCCGGTTCAATTTTTTGCTTCTCGTTTATTTTTTTTTCAAATTTGTGGAAGACCGGTTAAGATAACTTTCTGAACTTGGAATAGAAGATCTGATAAGAACAGAGTGTATGAAGTATCTATTTTGTTGTTTATTTTTTGTTGTTGTTATAGGGTGGTCATTTATTTATTTGTGACATTTGTCCTCAGTTTTGTGTCTGTTTCACTTGGCTTGAGTGCTTGCAATTCATCAGGACACTTGAGCAACCACGCTGAGGTGGCCCCTAATCACGCTGGGATCACTTTTGCCATATCAAATACTCTTGTAAGTGTTAGTTTATTTTGGTTGGGTTTTTTTTTTTTTGGTTAGCTATAAATGAAATAAAGATTGTTACGTTGATTTTTTAAACGGTTTTCACACATTATACTTTCATTTGCGTATTGATGAGGCACTAGTCGTAGTCAGTTTAAATGTTTACTGTTACAACAGGTACTTTTTGATCAATGATAACTGTTATTTTTATTATTTTTATTATTATTATTTTTTAAATATTTTGTTTAAGGTAATTGAAATAGAAAATAAATATTGGGTTATAACTAACGATGAAAGATGTAGTCTATTTATAGATGTGCTATAGAGTGTCTTTGCCTCACAAATGTGATTTCTACTTCACGAAATGTGAAAGTTACAAGAAGCTTCATGCCATTTGATTCAAAAGTAGTCTCTCTTTTTAATGAAATGTCTCCAGAAAAATTGGCTGTGTATGTTAGAATTTAAAATAACATGAAACATTCCATGGAGAAATAAGGACTTTTTATTTACTAAGCAGTAAAATTATAGATAGTTTCGTAAGTTTATGTACTGTTAAACTGAAATAAAAAGTCATACACACTGACAATACAATACAATTTCAAGAAGTTGTTTTATCTTTTCCAAAATGTGGTGACATAGCTGAGCTGACTTAATTTTTTTCTTCTTTTTTCTATTTTGCAGGCGACGATACCAGGTATTTTGTGTGGCCCCTTAACGGCTGAGCTTGTCACACAGTCCCATGGTCGTTGGCTGCCCGTGTTTGTCATAGCAGCTGGGGTGAACTTTGTGGGAGCAGTCATCTATCTGAGTCAGAGTGCAGCCAGTCAAGTATTATGATGTCCCACCACAGCAGTTGACTTTTGTTTGATGTTTGAATTGGTTACATTTGCCTTGCAGCCAATCTCAAAGAGGCCTTCATTGCACAGAATGACACTACAAAATTAGTTTTTAAAGAAAGTTCTGTGACATTCTGATTTTTTTCCTCCCTTGTTAGTATTTTGAAAGAAAAACCCCAGTGGTTTTTGAAAATGTCTCTTGCAGCACAAAGTTCTATAATAACAGCAAGGAAACTTGACGTTTTGACAAGGATTTTATGGTTTTGTTTTTCGCTGCTTAAATTTTACTTTGGCTGGTTGCATGGCATGTAGTCATTTTCATTTGCAAGATGAGTGCATCTTCTTGAAGAAAAGGAGCATCTGAGCAAATGGACTAAAGTGGTGCTTGGTTTAAACACTGTGATGTAATTACTTCTCTATTGTGGTTGCAGTTAGACATGCTCATTGAGTATTTAATGCAAAAATGTGTCCTTCAAACCATAACCCCTCAGTTGTTCTTAGATTTTTGTGTATGGCAATCAACAGCAGTAGAAATGGTACTTGTACAATTCTGATGCGAATCATAAATTTCTAATAAAAGAAATTTATTGGGGGTTTGATCAAGGAAGCTCAATTTTTATAGGGTTGAAGGAAAAGTTAAGTTAATGTTTTATTGGGCATTTAACCTGTCCTGTCTCTTTGATGATATTTAGAACAGTGAATTACGGATCTTTCAATTTCTTTAAGTTATTTGTTCCAACTTGTAAAAACTGAATGTAACCAAATGATTCAAAGATTTTTATAAACCTAAAGGATGTCACTGGAAATAAATCTGCCCCATATATTATTTTGAAGATGGAAACTGGTATTATGTACCCGAATTAACTGTTTCCAGTCTTGGACCCATGTTTTCAATTATTTAGGACCAACCAATGCATTTTCATGTTATGTAATGAGACTTTGATATCAATGATAGGTAATTTGTTGTTCTTGAGATGGGAATGCAAGTTCAAACTATCTGAGAGTGAGATAACAATTTTAAAGGTTTCTGTGTTGACAGGAATACACATATTGGTTGTTTTATTTCTGCAATGTTCTCTTCATGGTCTAAGAATGTGAGGTATTTGATCTTGATATTTATTATCACTCTTCTTAAGTCATGTGAATAGGAGTCTAAACTTTTGTAAACATGGACACAGGAAAATATTCTGTACAGGTACAGTTTCTCAGGTGCTGTAAACTTTGAGTGTCATAATGGGTTAAAGCTAAAAATTGCCTATTTCACTATATGAGAACTGGACAACTGTAACTTTATATGCTATTGAACAAAAGAAAGGTATGATTTTCATTTTTCTCTATTTTTGCTGAAAAAAAAATGATAACTTGTTTCATGTTCTCGGTCAGTAAATTCTGAGGCATTACTCTGTGCCTTTTATGGAATGTTATTTTTGCTGGTGTTAAGTTGAGCAATAGTCCATCCCTGTGGACCTTCGTTCATATTCCTGTAGATGGTATCATTTTGGCAGAATGTTTTTTGATCATGATGCATTTTTGCGAGTTGTGAACACAGTGTTGCGATTAGAGAAAATGAGATTGTTTCTCAATTGATCCTTGATTATGCCTGTTATGTATTGTTAGCCCTGCGTGTAAGGTTAAGTTGAGATGAGTGAAGAGGCACCCTACCCTGTCTGTTGGTTTTTATTGTAATACATGTAGCTTAAAGTCTGGAATGTGATTGTTAAGATGAGTTCTTCAATAACAGTTATTTTTCTGTTTATTTTGATGATATCTCATGACAGTAAAATTGGCCCCAGTTGTACTGGTGATCTGGGTTTTTAAAATCTGATTCTCTCTTTTTACGGTTGTAATGATAGTGGAAAGGGACCTTGAATGTTAACCCTGCTAGATGCTAATGGGGTAGCCTAGAAATCGTGCTGTATTTGGACGGCACAGAACTGATTGTAGTACGAAGGGACTGATGACATTTCAAAGGCTAAGAGCAATCTGGCGAAACTTATATTATAGCGATTTTGGAGACGAAATTGAGTGGAAAAAGAAAGAGGGGTACTCGCTGGATGTTTTTTAAATTTTCAATCAGTACAAGTCTGACATAGTTTCCCTATTCACAAGTTGATGATATTCTTTTAATTTTTGTGTGATTTACGGCTCCCCAAGATGAATGCCTTCAGACCTTCTCGCACAGTGACCCCATTTGTGTAGATCCACACTCATAGCATCAACAGTGATCAAACTAATATAAAACAATATACTTCTGAAGTTCTTTATACCAGTTGGACAGTAAAGATTTTGCTGGACTCTATTTGCACATTTTCAACACTCTTTCTGAGGTTTGTCACTATGATGAATGTTAGTTTATGCATATGTTTGTTTTGTTTTTTTCTCTGTCTTGTGAAACTGTGAGGGGATGCTACATTGTCTTTCAGATTCATGAGTAGGTGTATTTGTAACCCTGCCATTGCCTGTCATTCATGCCCATTTATAATTTTTCTGGGTCACAGGTGACATACAGTACTTGTCTGCTCAAAACTCAGTGACTCTCTTCAGCACACAGAATGGGGAAAAAAATACGTTGACGATATGATTGAGTGAAAAAAAAGAAATTCAGTGTTAAGTGGGAATGGTAAAATAGGTAATAAAGCAGAAAATATGAAAAGAGATGGAAAAAGAACGGGGTTTGATTTCTTTACTTGTAATTTTTTATGTAACTCTTTTTCTTGTTTTATCAATGAGGTTAGTGTTGAACAATTTTGCTGTTCTAGTTCTCTCTTTATTGCACAGCTCTGGTTCATAGGAAAATGTGAATTATGAGGGGCAAAAACGACATTCAAAATTTCACTTCGCTTTTCAAGCTAATGAGTTTATAGGATCGATCCAAGGCAGGGCAAGCTTACAGAATACAATCCTTAATGCGTTTGTTGGAAAAACTAAGTGGACATCATTGGAGAGAGCAAGAAACCATGAATGGAGATATTTTTCCTTTTTTATTACTGATCATGAGATAAGACCACTGAGATTTAACTGGAGATTACAAAATAGTTTTTTACCTTTTTTGTGACCTTTTTTGTGAACTTGTGAATGGTTTCCAGTTTCCATCCAGTCAAAATGAGGCTGAAGTTGCTGAGCATGAAATCGCCCACACCCTGAGAAAAGTTCTTTTCAGACTTAAGTTTCTTTTATTCTTGTTACTCCTCTTAAGTGAACGTCATCTTTTGCTTGAAGGCAATTTTGGAGTGATGCTGTTGGGGACTTCATACTGATTTTGACTGATGGGAGAACAAATCTCTCCATTTTCTTTATTTTTTTCACTGTAATGTTGTTTCGCTTTGTACCTTTGATATTGAAACATTTTTACAAGATGATCTGAAATTGTTTTGCCGCAGTTGGCTGTTGCATTGCAAGGGGGAACGAGCATGTTAGTTGTTGATGGGGACCTATATTCCTCTCACTAGTTTGGTTGAAAATAGTTTTCAAGTAACCTATTTTTAGTTGTTATTTGGGTTACTTGTTTTGCATGTTAGGTCAAAAGTACTGTGCCGCAACTGTGATTTAAAAAAAAGTATATAGAGCATGTTGTAGAAAACAGTCCTTAATTTTGCTTGAAACTTTATGACCTTATTTAAGGTATCATAAAGAAGTCGAGGTCTTTGGGATGATGGTGGTGTGCAGTATACAGGGGAGAAAGATTTATCTCTGGTGAAGGTGAGCAGTTCTTTCAGAATGTTCTGGCACTGTAGGAGAAACTGGATGTTTCAGACTGTTTTATTTACAATATGACCTTTCGGGTTGCCATTTTGCTAGTGTTGAGCATGTTTTTTTTTTTTATTGCTCACATCTCTATATGACATCCCCAATCCTCTTAATTGCAGAGATACAATTTTTAAATGATGAGTAAATTGGTGGTTGGTTTGGGGGAGGGGGGGTGTCATTGGTAGGCCCTACTTCTTTTCTTTCCCACTGTTCTTTCTATCTGTCGGTCCTGATTTTACCCTGCATTAAATGACTGTTAGCATGTCGGTGTGCTTCTTTTCAATCACACAAACAAAAGCAAATTGGAATTACTGTCTTTAATCTGTATGTGCTCAGGGTTTCCCAATTTGTAGTGATCTTTTGGGAAGCGACTGCTTATCGTGCTGGCAGGGAAAGGGATATTTATTTTGCTGGAAGTTAAATTGTAAACTTTCCTAAAAGGGGCAACGTTGTCGTTGATGTAAAAGTCTTGCTTGATGTGGACTGTGGCTTAAAAAAACATTATTATATTTCCAGAGAAAATGAAATTGATAGAAGCTCCAAGTCTGAGTGCCATTTTTTAGACAAATGTGTTGCATTGTAAACTTTGTATGACCAGCTGCAAGTCATTTTTCTTTTTATCATTCTTTTTTGCTGTTGTACTTGTGTACTTTTTTTCTTTAGAAACTACTTATTTCAGTGCTTAACATTCCACCTATCATCAAAACAATCACACAGCCGCTTTTTGTAATACATCATTTTGCATGACCTGTCTATAAGTCAGCTCTTGTAAAGAACCTACCTATGTATGCCAAATTGCTGCCTTCAACGCTCTGCTACACATATTTTTTTTTACTTCATAGTGTACTTATGGCATACAGACACAGAAGGGAAAGTCTTAGCTGTACCACATTCTTTTAGTCCTCTTTAGTTACAGATACAGAGATGTGAACACCTTCACAGTTGCAGAGGTGTGAACATCCTCCTAGTTCTATGTGCGAAAGGATAGAAAGCTGCAAACATTCCAGCCGCCATCCTAACTTATACTTTTGTATTGCTATATATCTTCTTTCATCTTTATTATTAGTGTGGTGTACGTGGATAAATTCTATCTATAGTTCAATTCTGTTTTCATTGCTGCCGTGTGTCAAAAAAGAGATGGAGAGTCTTATCAGTGGGAAGTGGGGGAATATCATTGTCAGTTGCTGTGTCCTTTCATCTGTTGTTTTTTGTTTCTGTGCGGATGCATTATGTGCACCATGGTGTGGTCTGCTTCTTCTACTTCTTTTTCAAGTTGCCATTGCTCTCATCAGTCTTCAGCAATATGTGTCTGTTATTGTGCTGACTGGTCGTGGACTACAGCTCAACAGATTTTAGTAGTTTCGTTTTTCAGTCCTTAAGTAGTGGTTCACAGCTCCTATTACAGTGTTTGGTTCATTGAAGGGTACTCATCATTCAGTTGTGTTGTTCACGCACACTATGTAGGGGATAGGCAGAAAAGGGTATAGCTGGTCGGTTTGCCAGCTAGTTGTGTAAAGTCTGATTACTTCTCTTTCTTTCCCCCCTTTGGTCTATTTGGGGATCAAATTCACTAAAAAATCAATTCTTTCTTCCTTCCCAACAAGCTACTGTTTTCATTACTAAAAATATCCCCTGCTGTACTAATATGCTCATTGCCTTCTGCCATTCTCTATTACTTTGTTTTCCACCATTAGATATCCATGATTATCGAATCTATATTGCTTGTTTTTTTTCCACAGAATCAAATCAATTGACACTTCAATAGAAAATTAAAATGTTTGTTACCTTTAAATGACTCCTTATTTTTAAACTCCATTTTTGTAAGGGGATTTTCCTGGTTCTGGTGACTTGGAGGTTGGAAGATGTATTCTTGTTAGATTCTACTTCTTTCTTATCCTTCTGTCATGTGTTTGAAGGGCGTGACTGGTAGGTCCTACCTCTGTACGTGTCTTCTGTTCTTTCTGCCAGTCGGTCTTACTTTTCCCAGCACTTACGCAAACCAACAGACATAGCACAGTTTTTATGTGTTGTCTCGTCTCTTCGCGCATTTGCTTCTGGGACAATTAAACTCCAAAACTGTGAAATACTCATTCAGATGAAAGATAACACCCCTTTATATGCTGCAGACAGCTTCTGTGCCACTGGCCGTATCTTTTATGTCTTTGTTTTTTGACAACTGTTCCACACCTGAGACTGAAGTATGTTATGGTGAGATTTATTTATTCGTTAAGACTCATTTTATTTCAGCCACAGAAGTCGTTCTTTCTTGCACACACTTTCATCGAAGTATTGAGACTTGCTCAGATGTTATACAGGAAACATGCTGGTATTTTTGTTAACTGTAGGCAACTATAGTGAGTTGAATTAAAGCCATTCAGATTGGTCATAAAAGTTTTTCTTTCAGTATAAGTTTTGCTGTTGATCATCTTTTTTCTCACCTCTCTTATGATGGGTGTTGTTGGAGAAACAGTTGATTGAAGGTCTACTTTTAGTGTCTGAAGAGCTAATGCATACTGAATTCGACTATGATTTGTAAATCTCATATTTTACACGCCTGACCATATATATTTGTACACAGTATAGAGATTTCAAGAGTAATCTGATGTCTCTTAATGATTTGTTTCTGTTTTTTCTGTGTTATGTTTAGCTTTGAAGTTGGGGGGGGGGGGGGGGGAGTTGTCAATGTAGCATTTGGATTTTTTGTTTGCTATAGGTTTGTTTTTAAAAATTCAGATTTAAGGAATGAAGACTTTGTTACAGGAATTATGATGCGCCTAGGTAGATGCCATCGGAGAATGAGGCAGCTGAGTACGCAAGTATATTATAATAGTTCAGGAATCGTCATGGAGAAAGAAACACTTTGCACTGAGTTGGGATCAGACAGATTGCACTTTACAGTCAACTGTGTATTGCAATATAGGGTTTGTCAAAGCCAAATTCTTCTGTGCTGTCAGTAAATAGTATGTACTGCCTCTTGATGATAATAGTTCGGTAAAAGTACTTGACCTAGTAGTAATGTTTGAGATTTCCATTCTCCTTGGAGTCTTGTTCTGTCACTAAATGTATAATGTCAAGTGCAAAGATGCTTCAACTTTAAGAATGGGAGGGTCCAAATTAACTTTTACCAAAAATTCAACACCTTTTTGCCTGAAGCTTTGACTTTGATTCTTTCTTGCCTGCTGGCTTTATTCCACTTTTTTTTTTTTGGTGTGTGTTAGTTACAATGTCAGGTTGAATGAGATTAAAGCCACTGAAAATATCTGAAAATGCCACACATGTTAAATTTTTCCTCAGTATTTCATATTTTGGATAATGTCTAATGCCCCATAGGTTTTGTTTTTTGGATGGACATGGTGTTGGCATGACATTTTGAATGCTGTCCATCTTTTACAGGGGGTCTTGCTTGGTTTTGGTGACCCTCCATAGGGAAAGTTTATCAGTGTGAAATGTAGTGGATCACGAGAGCTGATAATCAAAAGGAGTGGAAGTGTGATACCTCTCTTATATCTTTTTTTAAATCAATTTTTTTTTCTTTTTTTGGGGGTTCAATTCAATATACTCTTACTGGTAATACTCTCCTTGATTGAGCTAATTGATTTTTGCAGTACTGATTATTTCTGTTCTTGACGTTATGGCACCACATGTATGGGAGTGTTTCCATAACATGATCACTATTTAAAAGATGAACATCTTGGGTTTTCTCTCATTTACTGGATACCTCATAGTTTTAGGGCCATGTATTAAGTATTACAATTTTTTGTAGTTGTTTGATTCTTCTTATGAAAATGATATGTGTGTCTATAAGAAAAATTCACTTTGCTCCCGAGGCCTTTATTATTTCTCTTTTTGAAAACTCCCAAACCCGGTAAAGATACATTTGTTGCTGATACATTCATGAATGAGTCATGGATAGTATGTTGGTTGTGTTCTTCTGCGACTTTATTTTTTGGGCTTTGTTTTCTTCTTTTACTTTTATTTTCAGCCTCCCCTCGTACATAGTTACTTTATATTTGCTGTCTGAATGCGCTGAAAAACTGCTCTATATTCTATTCCTATTTGTCGACTTGTCCTTATATCTGGTGGTTTGTACCGGTTTTCTGAAAGTGAAACGGAAGGCTCACCTTTAAGGGTTTGTAATATTTCTAGATCAGGTATTCACCACTAGAAAGAGGGTGATGTTGTGTGCCAGTACCTCTAGATGGTCATACTTCTATACTATCTCTGTGTTGTATCTGTCACTTTATTTTGTTTTTCCATAGTTCTAAGTAACTGTCTTTTTTTCTTTTTTGCCTTTGTCCTTTTTTAAAACTATAGTAAAGCTGGGAAAAGTTCGGTTGTTCGTCTTTTCCCTGGCTCAAGGTGGTAAGGTGGGATTGTACTGGTGACCTAGCAGTGATGAGTTGTTGGAGGGTGCCATTGATAGGTCCTACTTCTTTTTCTCTGCTCTCTGTTGTTCCTGTTTATCTGTCTGTCTTATCTTTCCCTGCACTAATTGATCATTGCTGCGCTGATGTGCTTCTCTTTACACAAACAAAACAAACAAGTGAAGAGACTAGTCATATAGAGTGCTTTGTTGAAAAAGTGAGGATTTACGATCTTCTGAATATGTCTTGCTGGAAATTCCCTTTATTGGCACATGGATATCCTGAAAAATTTGTGTCATACACAATTTTGTACACCGGCACTGTTTTGACTGTCGAAGATAGCTTGGAGATCAGCTGCAATGCCTCTAGTAAAAACTAAAGTGTGTCTGTTATGCTTTGTGCAGTTGCATGGACTGGAAATTGTAAATTTTTAAAAGCTGAATTATTTTTTATTTAGTATGTTTTAAGTGGAACTTTTAGCCCAGTGGTTAGATTAGTGGCTCACAAGCACAGCAGTTCCGACTGCGAGCTGCTGGGAGCGGCGTGCCAGAGATAAGGAATTAAATCTGATTTTATAAATATTTGCATCAAGGCATTCAACATCACGTTTGCTACTCCACCAGCCAAGGGAATGTACTTCCTGCTTATGGTCTTTTTATTAATGTTTTTATGGTAACCATCTGATAGCTGATCATCTTATTAAAAAGATGGGCTCGTCTACCACTTTACACCTGAGGGATGAGTTGTAAATGTCGGGTAACATGAGATGGATGGTTCAGGTATTTCTGTTTTCCTTTTGTTAAAATCTTTGTAGCAAGTAAAGTTTGGTTTTCAGAATACCTTTGTTCCTACCACCGACATTCTTCTTTTTGTCTTGTCATAGTTCATTTTTTAAAATAAGAAGAAAGCCCTGTGACTTCTTTTGTTTCTTTTCTGTATTTTTACCCCCCAAAAAACTTGTTACATTTATGTTATATATGGGAACATGGAAATTAATGTATTTCAAGTACTAATCATGAGTGAATCTACACAGTCTCATTATCCTTCTTATTTCATTTTGAGGTAAGGTATTGTCATGGTGTTACATTTCATCGTATAGTAAGTGTGCTATTTTTCACCTTTATTTTTGCACGCTATTATGATTAATTTAAAGTAACTTTTAAATTTGGTGATTGCAGTGCATACTGTCATGCGTGGCCTTTGTGCTTTGTGTTTGTAAACTTTATTATGTTGTATACAACAGAATAAAGCTAGGCTACAAAGGAGGTGATGGAAGATATATTTTAGATTTTGTGTCTCTAACAGACTACATTTTTCTGTTGACAGTTAACAGTCCTGTGTTAACAGTTTGCAATGTACATGCTGGAGTTTTATTTTTAAAGACAGTGTATCCAGTTTTATAAAATGTTCAGGAGACCCAAAAATACATCTTTGCCTCTCAACAGCCAATCACTTTCAATATCTGCCAAACACTGTTCCCACTTTATTTATAAAGATATAGATACCAGACTAAGGCAGAGCAGAGATGTGCGCCGTGTTTTAAACTATCAGGTGGAGTGGATAACTCAGTTTTATCCAAAACTGGATATGCTGTCTTTCAAAATAAACCTCCAGCATGGTCCTGCCTTCACACCATTCTTGCTTAAGTGAGATTCCCTTGTATACCTATTTGTCACTTGTTTTGTTTTAGTTGGTGTATACTGTAATATGTGCTATAGGGGTTTGCTTTTGCTCTTGTGTTCATGTTTGTGTGTATGTGTGTTTAATTGCAGGTGTGTGTGCCCGCTTGTGGGTGTGTGCATTTGTGCATGAGTTTACATGCATGTGTGTGTGTGTGTGTGTGTGTGTGTGTGTGTGTGTGTGTGTGTGATAGATAGATAGATAGATAAATAGATAGATAGATAGATAAATAGATAGATA